AGTGACTGAGTTTTAGCGTTTCTCCTTTTTATGAATGATTGTTGGGAAACTGGTCACTCCTATGAGGGCCATGACCAGGTGAAGTTCACTGGTATTGTGAGGCTTTTGATTTCGTCCTGTGAAATTCATCTATCATACGCCACTTCTAGCGACCCAAATTTACTTATATTCTCAAGAGCTATTAAAATTTTCGGTGAATTTTCTTTGAATATATTAAATTATCTCTTCACGTCAGAATTGTGTTGATTAAATTCTTAATGAATTTTCAAATTCAAATTTTAGCTAATAACAACACAGTTCCTCAATGCTACAAGACCGCCGATCTCTGTATTGAGGGTGTTGATCAATTAAGAGGCTGGTTTTCATCTTCTCTGATTCTTTCTTCTGCGATTACAGGGAAGTCTCCATTTCGGTAGGCAAAAATCGTAACTTGCCTAGTCTCAACTTTTAGTCATAATTTGATTTATAATTCATCACCTTAAACGAAATGAGGTGAAAATAACTCATTATAATTTATGCCCAGAATACTTCATAGGGGATTTTAACACATTATTTAAATAATTAAAAGATTATAAATTATCTGATTCGCGAAAAACACTTTGATCTATTTTTTGAGATAGTTTGCCTCCATAAATTATTACTATGATTGAATATTTATTTTGTATTAGTCATAACTTATTATCTTAATGAAAGTTTAATAGGAGATTGACATTAATTGACATTGATTTATTCGACTTAGCATTTTTCGAGGATAGCTAATTACTGGGACTAAATATCTGAGTACTATTGATTTGCAGATGAACAACTTTGTATATTTTTATGTCGAGTTAGTTTACTCCACAAGTTTTCATATCCGGGACTAATTGTTACCACTAGCAGAGGTTGTTCAGTTAAATATGTGATACGAAAGAGGCAATCCTTTGTAATGAGAACTTAAGTCTTCCTGTTTCGCTTTAGGTTATTTATGGTTTAATAAGCTAATTCTTATACAACTACATGAATATGTCTCATAACTCTTTCGTCTTACTGCCTTACCTTTCTTTTTATTAGAAATTTTGGATTATTTTATTTTGTCTTTCTTGCTATATTCTCTTTATTTACCTGTCATTTTTCTTCTTGATCTAAACAGGCGTTTAGTGGTACATGGCTTCACGACCGACTCAGATGGCCATAAGATGTCAAAGTCCCTTGGTAATGTGATATCACCTAGTAGTCTGCTTATGCCACGCGAATCACTATCCTCTCATCTGAACGAGCCACAACAGACGCAGAAACATCTTTCTAAGTCTGGGAGCGCTATTCATAGACAGACTAAGAGATCAGCTAGTGTTGTACAACGCCATACACTTGATGTGCTGCGTTGTTGGGCTGCAGCTTCGGCACTTTCTTCGAGAGTGCCTTTCGGTTATCGTGAATTGGATAAACAGGCAATCAAATATCGGCAGGTGAGTTTTCGAGCTCCTTCCTATTTCGTCTTCCATCGAGAGTTTGCTTCCAGTATGACGTGGTTTACTTAATTTGCCATAGGAGTATTTTGCTTTGAAGAGCCTAGTAAAAAATCAGCATTGTAAAGCTGTTTGTGATTGAGTTCCGCGGTACTTTGGGCAATTTGAGTGAAAGCACTCTTAGTAAGGCCACTGGATCTACAGCCGAACGCGTAAACTAAGGTCACTTTCTTTCTCTAGTTTCAAATTACTCCGCCTAAATATACCATACATCTATACATTCTAAATCATTAGGACTGCCAGACCAGGGCTCCTTGAGACAAGCCAACATTGGAAATGTGCAACTAAGCTTTCTGAGCTTATAGTGGCCTGTCCTGGCTCTGCCGCCTTTTATAGCTCAAAATTAAGATATTGAAATTCTTCTTATTTAATTATTTGTATCTCTACCTTTTTTATTTGTTTATTACTGTATTCTGCTAAGCCTGATCCATCTAACTAATTTATTTGACAGCGACTATTTTCTTTCCTTTTATCAGTACCTAGTTGTTGTTTTGTTGCATTTGTTTCGACTGTTTTCAAATGCGAAAATCACGCCTTCTCTTTCGAAGCTATGAAGACCAAGATGGTATGGCCTTCTCTTCATTTCACCGCTTATATAGTAAATTCTATTTAAATCCAAGGTGCATTTGAAACTTTTCTATCTCCATCCAACTAAGTGTATTGTTTTCTTTTCATAATAAGATTTTCGATACTACTAGTAGATCTGAAGTAAGAGCTGTATTCATCCTATTTCGTTTAAAGTAATGAAGGACTGATAGTTGAAATTTTTCACAATAATATGAGCATTCTTCATGCTTTCATTAAATTTCACATAGCCCTACCTCCATAAAGACTTTCATTTCTAGGGCGGAGTGTATTTTCGGGCTTGCCTATGTCTTGAAAACCCTTTTTAAAAGGAGAAATATGTAAACGTAGATACGAAGACCAAGATGTTGTAGACTATATTTTAGTTGCAGTCTACTCTCGATGTATATATGTGGTCTGACCTCGTTTTCGTAACTTGGTCGTGTCGTCGGAGAGTGATGTATTCGATTGCTATGACAGATACAACTTTGCTTCACCGACAGTCCCATCACAGAAATGTGATATAGAAAAAACTCCTTAAAATTCATTTCTGCCGTGTGACCCAATGGCACTCTTAGCAGTGATGTAATGGTCAACGTGTAAAATTTATACCAGGGCTCGAATCCCGCTGGGGCTGCTTATGCGATATGGGCGAGGTAGAAACTGCAGTCCACCCTGGATTGTAATACCTTTTGGGAAGCAAGGATATGTGAAATTTGCTGGAGACACAAGGCCTACCCATATCATTGTGGCAGAATTCAACTAATAGCCCTTCATCGCCTCAAGTGAAATATAGTACATATAGCTAATATATAAGTTTATTATAGCCTGAATTTTATTTAATCGCCATTTATACCAACCCTGCCTATTAGTAAATGATAAAGATATCTTTATTTTTATTTGTTTAAAGGTACGCAATGGTTTTCGCTTTATGCTGGGAAATCTAAACGATTATTGTCCTTTGACTCATTTGGCCATGCTCACTAATACGTCTATTTCAAATCCTGTGGGCGGTACTCTGGCTCTATTTTCTCAATTGTCGAGTGCCCTGCTTAACCGTGATCACTCTTCAGTTAGCCACCTTTCGAGTCTAGACCGTGTGGCGCTTACTCGGGTTGGTTGGTGCTTAAATCGGGCCGCGAGCCTTCACTATCCAGCCTTCACCTTCGACTCTCTTATTGGCGAAGTCGACAATCTTTTTTCTTGGCTCTCAAGCACATATCATACAAGTGTCAAAGACAGGTAGTTATCAGCCTTCTCTCCAGAGTCCTGGCCATTTTGTTTATTTCTATGGTCTCCATAATCTTAGGATATATCCTTTTTTGTTTTATGCTAAGCATTTGGCTATTTTGTGTCCTGTTTGAGGCTTGTGTTCAACCAATTCTGATTTTTGGAATCATAACCCTCTAGGCGGCTTTAGATTCATTAAAATTCTGCAGGTCTCCCTTACTTAGGCACTACCACAACAAAAGAATTGTGACGATCGTCAGAGTACGCATTTCCGGCTATATCTTAAGGTAATTACTAATAGGCCTAACGTCTGGCCCGGGTCATCAAGTTTTAATGACAAAGGAAAAGCATCTCTGAGGTTTCATGCGTCCTAACGTAATCCTAATTGAGATGTAAACCTGTGAGCGTGCAAGTCAGGTTACGGAACCATAATCCTCTGCGGTTGGTCTAGAATTATTGAGCAAATGCATAACTGGGATTGTGTATTTCGTACGTCTTTCTGGTTCAATGGATCTATTGATCGAATGTGAATGAGGATAAAAACGTCACTGAGTTGACTAGTTTGAGCGCCCTTTTTCGACAGCTAAATGCCCTTGATCTACTTTTTTCTATCAATCAAGCATAAGTAGTTATTATTCAAC